ACTACTACTACTACTCCTGTTATTACCATTTCTACGATCACTATTACTATTGGTATTTCGATTTTGAAATCACACGCCCACGCAGGGGCCTGGTGCATTCGTCAGGCCTCCTGGAATCTGAGAGGCGTGTTTCATCCTGGGCTGATCCACGCAGGGCCGCTGCAACCAAAACAAAATTCATGAGGATCGTCAGACTTGGAGAGTTTTGTTGAGGAATCTCCTAGGTAGACCCAGACAATCGGTAATAGCGGGAAAAATAGAAATATAAGAGGACCCCAATATAATCCTTATTGGCCCTTATAGTCACTATTACAGGGTGCGGGTCCACCTAAGCAATCTCATTCATGAGAGCTACAGCCGTACCATGGTTTAGACAAACCCTGCCATGGCGCGAGATCGGCTGGTGGAGGTGTCACGCTTGTTATCTGAGGCTTCCTTTTGGGCTGGCATTACAGGCAGTGCCCCCAAGGAACACACTGCACCCTAAACCCTAAGCCCTCAACCCCAAACCCTAAACCCTAAATCCTAAACCCTAAATCCTAAACCCTAAACCCTCAACCCCAAACCCTAAACCCACTGCATTGTCTCAGCTGAGCCTCGGACCTTACGGATTTCGGATTAAATCAGGGTTTTTTGGTTTAGGGTCTTGGGGTTTCAGAGTTTAGGGTCGTCTCTAGACAATCCCAAAGTAGTATCTTGATCGTCCCTTGCGTGCAGGGGCAGGGGGACGACCTTCAACTTATTCTGGGGCTTCCATCCTCTGCAGCTCCATTTGTATACCACTTATAAAGCCCAATGTATGTCTGTATACTGTGTATATATATATATATGTATATTCATATACAGCTATAGATATCCCCTATATAGCCAATTATAGGCGTTTCTATTTTCTTTGCCATTATCCCTATTTAACTCTATATTACCCCATTGACAGCAGGGGTTTTGGGTTGGATAATGGAAAAGGAAAATGGAAATTATCATATTACATAGGCTTATATCGGGGTAGTATTACTGGAAAAGAAAATAGAAACTACTGTATTCTATGGGGGGTTCTATAGGGTTAAAGGTAGGATACTGGAAAAGAAAATGGAAACTAGCCCTATATATGGTTTAGGCCTCACGAGTCCTCAATGTTTGAGCATCACATGAAAGCATGGGCCCGCCTCATGTCTGCAACATGCTAAAGGCATCAAGTCTATGGCTTTGGGAGCTTGAAGCCTAGGTGGGGATAGGCCCATGTAATGCTATTAGTTCTACAGCGGTTACTATCACTATAAGTTGTTGGGAGCACAGCGTCAACTTTCGAAGAGGAATACAGTTTCGTAATTTGCATACCTAGCGTGAAGTCGAACAGCGCAAGCTGCAGCTCGTCTAGTCTTCTGCGGTCGACGAAGCTTTGGCCCGGCGGCTTTACCATTTTACAGTCTCAGGAAGATCTCTCGCAAAGCCAATGGCCCATAGGCAAGCACAAGCCAGGTTCTTTCGAGAGAGAAGCCCGAAATACCGGCAAGAGAATCAAAGCTGTAGATGAACGAGCTCGAGAGGTTTCCCCAAAAATACTTCAAAACTTAAGCTTCAGTAACTCCCCCCGCCTGGCACACCTCGGCAGAGAGACACGTTCCACAGCTTCAGTCCATTCTCCAGAAGTGGGCGTAGATGCCATGGATTGAGCAATCGGCTGTCCTTACCACCTCACTCTTTGTCACTCGCCTGTACAAAGCCTGGCACTTCCTTAGCTGTCAATGTGAGTTTCCCCAAAATGATGGTGTCAGAAGGTTTGGGGTCTTGGGGCTGAAATCAGTTTTCGAAGCTTGTGTGCAAGGATTCCCAGTGCATGGAGTACACATGTTTTGGCGTCTTATTCTTGGCACTCGCCAGATCAAAGTTTTGAGAAAAAAGCTGTTTACAAACAAGAGTTTTCATTTTGGCGGTCGCCCAGTAGGATGTGAGTTGCAGATGCGGCCTGTTTTTTCCAGAGCCCTAAACCCTATTCAAGCCCATAATTGTAATTTCCATTTTCTCAAGAATCCCTAAACCCTTTGAAGCACAAAGCCATCCAAGAGTTGAGTAAGGAACCTTCTAGTTCAGAACGAGCCCTTGTACAATGTAGGACTTAAATTATATTCAGAATCTAAGTGGTTGCAAAGGCACCTCAACTCCCAACTGATGCACTTGATAGGGCATGTTTCTAACATGCGTGAAAAAGCCTTGGCTCTTGAAAGCCTTGAACCTGAATCTCCACATGCATGCATACCATAGACATACATGTATGTACATCTCTCTCTCTCTCTCTCTCTCCCTGTGCCTCTCTCGCTTTTTCCACATGCGTGTATTCATATCCCTGCGCGCATCCTTGTCTCTACATATGAGTATTTATACACACCCGGGTTACACCCCTCTAGACCCCTTGTGGCTCCCTTTTTAAGGGACCCACCCTAAACCTTAAACCCTGAGCCAGATCTTCTATGGGTAACGCCTCAAGGGCTTAGGGTGTACCTGGATCCCCGAGAAGTTTAGGGTGCGGGGTACGCTGCAGACGAATGGCCTTTTGTATCATCTGGAATCTGTAGGGGTTCTGGGCTTTTGTTGTACCAACATTTCAGGTCTGGAGCGTCTGACAGGTCCGCCTGAGCACGCAGGGGTTGTGTAAGGGTTGTAGGAGATTTGGCAGGGGTTATTATGGTAATTAGAAGGTTTTTGGCAACCCAACCCCCCTCCTGCCAAGAGGCAAGCCTGATTTGAACCCACAAGTTTCGGAAGAGTTTGATATAGGCTTCCCCAAGCCTGCTTCTAATTATTCCTGTTTATGTGCGTACCACATGCAACCTAGGAAGCTCCTCAGCGATGCAGCCACTTGGGGTCAGACAGATCGCCTGCAGAAGGCGGGTGTAGAGCGGCTAGCTGGCGGGATGGGGTTTGGGGGTGAGGGTTTGAGATTTAACAACTGGAAATGGTTGGTGGCGTAAGGCTTGGGATTCAAGAGTTTAGGCTGTGGGGTTTAGGGGGAGGGTGCATGGGTTTTCGCGGGCCTATTGCATTAAACAAATAATCAAAGTGGGCTAAGTGGGGGCTCAGTTCCCTGCTGTCGCACATGGCTTTACAAGGGTCATGCATGGCATTTATGCCTGGGGCCAGCAAAGTTCCCGGGTTCTTGGCTTAGGGGTTGCGATGCTGCCCCCATGAGGAATATACAAGCCTTCACATGTTGGTGTCCCTGGCTTAAGGCATTAGCCTATAGCGGGTACCAGTCCAAATTTTCATCCCTCTTGTCACGTCTTGCACCATGGCGGCCTTCGCCGTGAGCTATGCGTCTCTGCAGAGCTCAGTAGTTTTTTCGATTTCGGTAGTATACCGGAACCAGCAAACACGAGTCAACTTGCTACTGCATGATGCCAAAATCAAAGAAGGAACTCGTCAAACCTAAACCCCCAAAGCAGAAACCCAACACAACTGTTCATGTCACGTTTTCACGAAAAAGAGCCGAAAAAGCAGCGCCTACCAGAGCAAATCGAATTACAGAAGCTGAGCAACATGAGGAGGCCATAGCCCTAAAATTTCTGAGGCATCTTAATGCCCAAGCCCTCCGCCTCATCATGCCCAGGTGGGGAAGCATCACGTAAGCTTGGGGTTCCCCCCGAACCCTAAACCTTCTGACGTGAGCGAGGGTCTGAACTCCTTAAAACGAGGCTTATCCAGGGGTTTATAGAAGGAAGTATTTTCAGGGTTATCAAGCGGGATACTGGGAGTGTAGACTATAGCTCACATGAGGTTTCTCCCAGCGCATCCACCGCCTTGCGTGGAGCCGCAACCACGCCTGCGGGCCAGTCCAACACTTCTCGCGAGCCGCCAGTTTCATCTGGCAGCTCGTGCTGTGAAGAATGCTTTTTGCTTCGCCCCGAAGGTCCTAGGTGGTTCGGTATGGAATCAAGGGTTGTAAGTTTTCTGAAGCTTGTAGGTTCCCTTTGGAGGGCTTCATTGATGGCATGAAACAGAGATATTTGGCATATACACAGGCCGAACCTTTCAGAAATGCAGAGGTTGCTTAGCACGCCTCTCCGATCTCCGTCGTACTTCCTCTTGGGTTCCGGCTATGTGTGTTTCAAACTTGCATTTTTAGGCCAAGATGTTGGCGGTGTTCTGCTAGACGCTTCATGTGCAGTCGAAGTTCAACTACCTTGTCCAGAGTTAAAAATGCAGCGGAGGCGTTGGGTCCACGCTTGTTGGTGTCGGGGCCTTGAGCGCCCTGGCGGCCTCGACGAAGCGGTCGCGTCCTTCGCGGGGGCTCCGCGCTCGCGGTGGTGATGTGGTGGAGACCCTGCCCACCACGGAGATCAACTACTACAAGTTGGACAGTCTCTTGTCAGAGATACGGACATGACTTTCATGCCATAACTTCACCGTCCGGTGCATGACCAGCTACTGAAGTGGGGCAGACGACTTGACAGGGGCTGGTGAGGCCGATAGTAAAACGAGAACAAGAAAAAGAAACATAAGAAATAAAAAGAGACTTAGAGAGACGGAAGCACAGGCATGGTGTGCATTTCAAGTGCATGTGTTTGCTAACATGTCTAGTGCATTGCTTTCCTCTGAACATCATCACGCTGAACAACCAGCCGGTGTACAAGCAATGGATACAGCGGCTGCAGGTCTCATCATCGCACTTGCGCTTGGTTGCTGCCAAGGGGCTTCAGCTCAGTTATCGCAATAAGGAAACCTGCTATTTACCAATATTCCCCCTTATGGCAGCCTGATCTCAGCCCTTTAGCAGCAACCCTGTATACCGAGGCATCAATACCACCCAGATCTTGGCCTCCATGCGATGCGCGCTGAAGGCCATGCGCACTTACTTTGACGGCGAGAAGCAGGCGGAGGCGAGATGCAAAGAGGTAGTGGTGCTGCGCGACGAGGAATGATTGGCCTAGTTTTCGGAGTCATCGTGGTAGCAGCTTATGTTCCTGACAAGGGGCAGATAGCCACGTATATGAATGCTTACCAAGCCATATCGCGCAGCCTCGTCACATCGATACTGATCCCTCGCAAAGCCAGTCAACTCCAATAACCCAGATCTTGCAGCAAATCTGTTTTAGCCTCCACATGAGCCTCCATCCAGCGGGGCGCCAGCAATTCTCACCTTACTATTACCCTACTGCTGTGACTACTATCATTGCAGTGATTATTGTTAGTTCTATGATTGCGAGTATTACTATTACTATTATTCGTATTCTTGGGAGGAGAAGATGAAGGACGCCTTGTGCAACGAGGACGTCCGCTTTGCCTTGGTCTCCCTCTCCAGACTTCCGGTCTTCTCCCACGATTTCGGACTTGCCTTCAAGGACGATCTCGAGC